GGGATCAACTCGCCGGTCGCGGTCTCGTCACCCGTCGGCAGCAGCGCGTCCTCCAATGCAGGCGGGGGGCCGCCCGTGTCGTACTTCGCGGCCGCCCAATAGCCCCGCTTGGGCATGGCCGCCAGCTCGCTGCGGTCGCGGTGGGCGCGGGGGCGGTGCAACTTCCTCGTGAGCCAATCGGGCGTCGACCCGTCATCAGGCAACGGGCAGGTTTTGATGGTGTCAGCGCCCAGGCCCACTGCCACGGCCTCTGAGTACGCTCGTCGAGGTCGGAGGTAGCGATGTACCAGGCGTCCTTCTCTCTGGTACACGGGTGCAGCAGCGTGCGCTCGTGGTCGACGCCGTCGCCGCGGCGCTGCACCCCGATGGTCTGACCAGGCCTCATGTCATTCCACCGCGCCCCGCCCTCCTCGAACATCAGCAGCGACGTCTCGAGGCGGCCTGCCTCCTGCGGCGGCGCGCCTGGGGGCCGGCCTGCGGGCGCGCCCCTGGTCCCGCGCCGCCGCGCGCCAGAGCGCCCCAACCAGCAGGTGGGAGGCCATTTGTTCCAGCGCGCTCGGTTCGTCTGCCTCCGGCGCGGGGCATTTCGGGCAGGGAGGCACTTCGGGGCAATGTGGGCAGCCCCGCCCCAGCGGAGCCTGGCAGATCGGCCCTGGCGGAGGGGGCGCCAAGGTCGGCGGCAATGTCAGGCTGCCTGACCCCCCGCAGCTCCGCCCCCCAGAACCCGCCCGCGGCCCCCGCCGGTTGCGCGGCCAGCGCGGATGAGGGGGCCAGTCGCGGCCCGGGCGAGCCCGCGGGCGCGGGATGCATCCGCTCTCCGAAGCAGCGGACTTAATAGAGGGATGAATGCGGACGAACCTCGTTTCAAGCACGTCGATCTTTTGCACGAGCTCCCGAAAATAATTATGCGCGCGCATCCCTCCGCCTCGCCCATCGCCCGCCCTTGCCTCGAGCCCGTTATCATTGGCTCGAGACGCGATTGAAGCACCTCCCGTCCCGACTCCAAAGGCTCGATGCCGAGAAGGGCAGCCCCTTCCCACAGGCCTTGCAGCATCGGCCAACTTACGTGAACTCCGAGCGCCGCCAACACCTCCGTTCGGCAAAGGAACGAAAGGGTGAGCAGCCGGGAATCCAGAAGCAATTTGCAAAGCAGCGCGCGTGCACCGCATGCTTCAAACGCGGGCAGGCCCACCGACCTTCCAAGTCTCGGAAGCGCGAGCCGGCCCAAGCTTGAAGCCCGAGTGGGGCCTCGAGCGCAACCGCAGCAGCCCGCGCGATGGATTGGCCCCGCCTGCGAGGGCGGAGCTCCCGCGGCAGCTGCGCGAGACCCCCCCGCCGATGTCGCCGCCAGGACCATCGAGCAAGTCGACCATCCGGCCCGCCCCCTCCGCGCCGCCGCCGCAGCCCGAGCACCCCGGCGCGGCGCTCGACCAGGCGCGGGCGCGAGCGTGGCGCGCCGAGGCCGCCCTCGAACGCTCCATCCAGGCCGCCGCTGACGCGATGGACTTGCTGGCGAGCAAGCGGCGTGGAAGGGCGCGGCCATCCTCGAGGCGGCGGCTGCGACCGACGTCGAGTCCGCGGCGGCGCGCGCCAAAGCCGCCCCCGCTAGCCAGGCGGCGGCCGCCGCCGCCGCTGCAGCGGCGCCCGGCGGCTACAAGGGCGCGGCCTTCGACCTCTCCAGCCTGCTTGCAGGGGGCGCGGCCGCCCCGGGGGCCCAGGCCGGCGAGATGTTCGACCCGGGCGGGCTCGACATCTCGGGCGAGGAGAAGCGCCGACCCCAGGGCCAGGTCGCCGACTTCGTCTGCCAGCTCGAGGCGAGGCCCAGGAGCACTTCGGCCCCGCCGAGGGGCGCGCGCAAAGAGCTTGGGCAGAAGCACGACCGCCGCAAAGACACGCGGCCCCGGCCCGTCGCCCCCCGCGCCGTTGCGGCCAAGGGTGCCGGCAAAGGAGAAAGGGTAGCAGCAGCCTCCGACCCAGGTCGGCGACGCCCCCCCGCCCTCCCAGCGTGTCCAGCCTGGTCGAGCTGCCTATGGCGCCGCTGGCGGTCCTGGGCCATGCGCGAGCAGTCTGCCGCAAAAAGGCGCGCGGTGCCTCTTTCAAGCCCGCGTTCCTGGGCGACTCCGCCATGGCCAGGATCCTGGGGCGCGTGGAAGGGCCAACCCCGCCAAGGCCTGGAACCTCCCAAACCCTGTCGTGCCCATGGCTGACCCTGGGGATGGAACCGCCCCCCGCTGGGCCGTCGGGGAGCTCGGCGCGAAGCGCCTCGCTCGCCGCTGGCATCGTCGCGGGCGCGGTCGGCGCCCAACGGCGTCGGCTTAGACGACCGACTTCGGCGACCGCCGGCCCCCAGAGCACCAGATCAGCCAAGATCGTCGCGGTTGCGGGCGGCGACAAGATCCGCTTCCCCGACTCGGAGCAGAGCTGCCCTATCGCGGAGGCGGAGGGCAGCGACCCAGACGCGCCGCGTGACTCCGTCGCCAGCGTCGCCGTCATCCGTGGGGTCGGAAGCCAGCTCGGCCCTCGCCCTGGGCCCGGGCCCGATGGCGAAGGACCAGTCTCCTGCTCGGGAGCAGGCTCTGGAACTCAAGTGGATCGCGGGGCGGGCGCTGCGAGGGTTCGCGGGCCACTGGATGCAGGGCCCCCGCGCCACGAACGACGAGATGGGCTCTCTGGCGCAGACGCCGCGCGCCCTACGTCGCGCGATGCCCCTCCCATCCATGGCTGGTGCCCCTGGTGGCCGGGTGCGTCGAGCAGCGCGGCCGCGGGAATCCCGCCGCCGCGAAGGTGGACATGGCGATCGAGATCGGCCTGCGAGCCCATCGCCAACGTCGCGCACAGCGTCGACGATGTTGGGAGGGGCTTCGCAACCTGCCGCTTCTGGCCCGCGGCGATGGGGGCGGGCGCCAGCCGGCTTCGCGCTGAAGCCACGACGCGCGAAGCTGAGGACTTTGACGCAAGCGTTGCGCGGCCGCCGCCCGATCCACGGTCGCCAACAAGACCTCTAACAATGCCCGGTCGCCCTCGCCGGCCGCGACTCAGCGCCTGGGCCAAGACGCCCTCGGCAACCCGCAGAGGCCAACGAAGACGGCGACGGCTCGTGCCCTTCGACCGCGGCAACCGCGACGACAGCGCCCGTGGCCCGGGATGCGCATTGCCAAAGAGGGCGCGGGTGCCTTTCAGGCCCAGGCACGCGGAGCGCCTCGGCATCTACGCGTGGCGAGGCGGCCAGGTTCAAGACGGGCATGGCGCTGCGCGAACTCTGCGGCACCGTTCCGCCCCTCCCCTCGTCCGTCCCCCGCTGCCCGTTTCGCCCCCGCCCTCCTCCGCCCCTCCCGACGACCCGCGACGACCCCCGGACCCATGCCAGCCCACGGCGACCCCCCGACTGCCACCGACGACCCTCGCCCCTCCCGCCCCCCGCCCGCCCCCTCGCGCCTGCTGGCCTGCTGCTGCCGTCTTGCTTGCCTGCTTGCTTGCCGCCCTGGGGGCGGCGATTTCGCATTTGTGAGAGTCAAGGATTACGCCCGTGGCCCAGCGGACGGCTATCATGAGGCGGATCTCGATTTCCAGGGAAACAAGTTTGCTGATGCCGAAGTTAAGGCAGGGGCCGGTCTGCAGGCGCCTCCACAGAGGATGAGCGCCACCTGGACATCCCGCTCGGGCGAAGTGCAAACGGTGCTCAGTCTGGTGGCCGTGGTGACGGTTCAAATGGGGGACTTCAAATTTTCCACGGGGAGGTCCGCCAAAGGCTTCGTATGATCCCACACGCAGGTCTGGAATCGGGGAGCATGGCGTTGCAAGGTCTGCTGCAGGTATGCCTTGCCCCCCATGGCCGTCGCCGAGGGAGAGGGGGAGTAGTGGATTCCACCAACCCTGCGGGGCGAGGCCCTCGGGCACGCATTGCACGGATCAGTCCAATTTACTTTCTGCGATCGGTGCGGCGTCTTTACGAGCGAAAGGGGCTGCAACATGGTTGAGGCTTGCCGCACTGCTCCGGCCAACACCACGGCAGCGTACTGTCTCTCGCAACTGCGTCGACGCAGACACCGTTACAGCGTGACGCGCTCTCTTGGGGAAGCGTGTCGTTCCCTCTTGCCGTGGGAATGTGACGCCTTCTGGGAGATAGCTCTCTGACTGCGGAGCCGGACGAGAGTAGCACCTTCTTAGTGTGCCCGCCGACCTCCTCCTTTTACTGACCGTTGACCCAGGCAAGGTTGTGCCAGGTTAGTTCTGCAGTAAAAAAACTCTTGCCTCGTGGCGCCATCAAATGTTTCGGTAGGTCGACTCGGGGGTGTTGCCGGATCCTTCCTGAAATTTCAAAACCATTTAACGTGCGATAGAGGACATTCAACGCCGCGTAGATTCTTGTTCAAAATCGTACGAACTACACGCGCGATGTTCTCTCAAGCCACTTGTGTTTTGCGACGTCACGCAGTCGTATTTTCAACTGGCTATGCTGTTCATTTCGAAACACTGGTGGTTCTCCCTCTCACCTTCTTCTGGCGAATCGGCGTAGAACCATGAAATAGTTATGCCGGGAGAGTTGTCGTATTAATGGTGTGTGTGCGTGCTAGGTTTACCTATCGGTCGTACGAGGAAGGAATGCATGCTTACTTTCAGCCCGTCAACGAACAACAACGAAACACCAAGGTCCTTCGAACATCAAGAAACGATGCCCCTCAAGTCCCAAGCATGTGTTTCCAGCGACCAACAGGCATCCTATTCCTTCTCCTCCTCGTCCTGTGCGACCTGGGATGGGTGAGCAGTGAGGCGCGGCAGAGAAGCACGCGGCGGTACTTCTCCACGTCATCTGCCACCTCCCTCGCCGCCCACCCTCCTGCCAGGCTTCGAGCAGACCCTCCAAGAAGGAGGTGAAGCACGCGCGGCAATGTTATTTTGGCTCATCCTTGGCGATCCCCTCGTCTCCGAAGGGTAAGACTGCAGAACACTGTGCAGGTCTTGCGAACAAAAGCGAGTCGTATCTGCATAGGCGCTGCGCCTCAGGTGATGCTGAAAGAAAAACCTCGGCATAAACAAAAACTATCGGAACTCTGCGCAGATTTCTTAGGTCGGCGCTGGACTCCCGCCCCTGGGGCGCGGAGCACGCCGGGGGAGCCTGGGGCGCAGATCCAGGACATCCGCGCGGAGCTCAGACAACTTATGCTTCTGTGTTTCTTTTGTTCTTCGGTGTGCGGACGCTGCGCCTCACCGGATGTGCTCGGTGTACGAGTAGCAGAAAGGCTGCTCGTGCGCGGCGCACATCGCGTAGAGCCCGCTCTGGAGCACCATGTCGTCCAGCCCGTAGGCCTCGGGGCAGGCGGCGCGAAGCTCGGCCTTGAAGGGCTCCGCCCAGGTGCAGTAGGTGGACCGGCCCCACTTCTGGCGGCCCATGGGGCAAGGCAGGTCGTAGAAAAGGGGGTCCCTGGCCTGGAGAAACAGAAACACTGCATGAACATAAACTTTTGGAGACCCGCGCAGATTTCTCGGATAACCGCTAGACCCCCCCGGCGGCGCCTTCGGCGCCGCCCCTGGCACGCTCTGCGAGCCAGAGAGGTGGGTCCAGCACCGATCGGAGAAATTCCGCACGGAGCTTCGGATGTTTATTGTTATGCTTTCTTTTCTTCTTCGATGGCCCGCATGTCGGTGTGAATGCCGTCGCATTGGAGCCCGCGGTAGCGGTTGGAGATCTGCCACCGCTTGGTGGTGGGAATCTCGATGCCCTGATCGAAGAGCGCCTTCTCGGTCTTATCCGCCGCCGTGCCTGCACGATGTGGGCGTGTTAGAATCCCAGATGCTGCTCTGTAGGATTTCTGTCATATTCTAATAAGGGGTCCCCTCCTACTAGCAGGGTGCTGCGTGCACCCCCCCCGGCCCTCCCGAGGCCACGATCCCTCGTGAATAAACTGTGGGTCCGCGTCCCGAGCTTCCAAGACTGCACATGCAGGCAGCCAAAGAGAAAAAATCCAAGATGCATCGAAAACGGGCCACGATGACCCGACAGCGGCCGACTGTGGTCTCAAGACGGCCCAAGATGCTTCCAAGAGGGCCCACAAGGGCCACAAGATCTCGAACATGGCCCGAAGAAACCACGCATACAACATTTCCAATCTCGGTGTTTGAATGATTTTCACATTCCTGCCTTTTCGGGCTTCCCTCAACTCAAGGCGGCCAAAGAACATCTCCACGACGGCCCCCAGACGGCCCATGAGGCTTCCAAGAGGATCCACAGATGGCCCAACAGGACTCAAGAGGCATCCAAAACGGACCCGATGCGGCCCCACGTGGGACCCAAGACGGCCTTGGAACGCCCTTTTGATGCCCAAGACGGCACCAAAACAGCTCTACGACACAAAGCCCCTAGACGGCCCGAGAGGGCCCCCAAGGGACCCTCTTGCATGCCGCACATGAAGCCAATACAGACCCACTCCAGTCGAAACGAGTTCCATACAAGTTCCTCAAATAGCGAGAAAGAAAAGTGCCTCATGCGACGGCCTTCCTCTTCCTCCCCCTCATCCTGCTCCTTCTCCTCCTCCTCACCATCGCTGCTCTCCCACGCTTGGAGACACGAAATGTGATATCTGACGGCCTCCCGCAGCGCCTCGAACACTCGCGACCCAGAATGCTGGGCTAGCACGGTGGCGGGACTTGCCAGAGGCAAGGGATACTCATTCGAGCCGATCTGGCCAGACTTCTTGCGCTGCTTCATGTAGTTGTAGGCGATGGGCTGGTTGTTGCGCTGGTCCTTTCCAGCATCGTAAGTCGTCGTGGCGGCCATGAGAGCGTCGTCCTGGAAGGTCGGGGAGTCCCAGACCATCTTAACCTGCAGCTCGTGGAGCTTGTTGATGCTCTGGAGCAGCGTGGACATCCTGTGCCTTGCAGGAATGAAATTGGAGCCGATCCAGACAACGACGAGGTCCCCATCCGCGGGGCTCACACCGACCAAATCCATCTCCATCTTGATTTCCTTCACGGGAAGCTCGTGGCTGGCCCAACCGTCCCAATTGATGAAAGATGCAATGCCCTCCTCGGTGCAACCGCGGGGCAACTTGTCCGGGGCCTGCTCGGCTCTGGAGCGGAACCGGGACTTGCTCCTCATAATTGCCGTCGACTTGGCGGCCTCGTTCCTCCGCACCGTGCCCATCATGTCATCGACGTCCTTCTCGGTGTGGTTCGCCCACCAAATCTCGGGGCACTTATTGAGGCGGTGGAACGCGTTGCGAAGGGCCATCATCTGCGAATCGCCAACGAAGATGTGTTTCGTCTTGCCGTGGAAACGCTCCTTCATGCAATCCGACTTCAGGATGGCTGCGTCGGGGCCGGTCATCTGCAAAGCGTCCTCGGCGTACCCTGCCCCCTGCAACTGCGCGAAATACGTCGGAGCGTCCCAGTTGGCCGCCCTGAGCATGTTCAACGTGGGGATGGGGAAGCCCTTCGCACCAATGTCCAAACAATACTCCTCGCTGAACTGCGAAGTGCCGTAGCCGGCCCCGTCTTCGGCGAGACCTGGAAGATGCAAACAAACACTATAAACGAAATGTTTGATTTCCTCGGTGATCTTCTGGGTCGGCTCTGCAAAATCTCCCTCCCAACGCGCGAAAGTGCCGCTTTCCTGTCGCCGCCCTGCCTTTGTCCTGCGCGCGGCAAATAAGTAATCAGTACTGGGCATCTGTTTCGGTGGGGCTGATTCATTGGTGCTCGGAGCGCGCGGTAGTGCCGCCCAGCGGTGCGGGGGCGGGGGTCCAAAACCGATGCAAGAATACGAAACAAGAATGCATGCACCACCACCGTGTCTGACCATGTCTATCATGGGCCCTCGCACTGTATGTATGTCTGTATGTCTGTCTGTATGTATGTATGTATAAGACATTTAAGCCGACATGTTCAATATGTATATATATACAGTTATAGTTCTTCGTGTACTAGAACCATCGCGCGCGCTCAAGTTCTAGCCGATCACAGCACACCTGGTATTTGATCGCGTTGCAATCGTTGAGCATTCAGGCTGGAGACAATGAGATCGCGTCGTTACTTACGCTCAGACGGCGTAGTTGGGAGAGTACATGAGGAACTAGAGTCACAAGAGGGGACAGAGGATAGGAATGGTGGACAGAGAAGGCGGGCGTGGGAGAGAGATGGTCGAGTGCGGGGTTGAAAGAAAAGCGAGGGCGGCGAGGGATGGGATGGGGGGATTGAAGGGGGAGGACGGCGGAGGCTGGGAGCGTCTTGGGAGATTCCCGGGTGCCCGGGGGCTATCTTAGTCGCTTTGGGAGCGATTTTCATCCGTCTTGGAACCTCGGAGTGCGGCCCAGACAGCGCCCCAGGGCGGAGGGGCACCGCCGTATCAGGGAGGAGGCCGCCCCGGGGCCCCAGTGCCGGGATCTCCCATGAGGCTCTTTAGCATCAGTCGTGAAACCCCTCGGGGCCTTTTAGGAGCCTCCTTGGAGCCTCTTTTGGGCCTCCAGGGGGCTTCTGGGGCTCTTTTGGGCAAGTGGGTAAATTATCGAGGTTGGCCTGTATCTTGCGGCAAGATTGCAGGCAAAGGCAAGAATGGAGAGGACGGGAAATAGAGAGAGGGAACGATCAACGGATTAGAAAGGTTTCCTCCTCTTTCCTTTTCTTCCGTTGCTTGATGTTTGTTATCCTCCTCCTCCTCCTCCTCCTCCTCCTCCTCATCTTCCTCGCCCTCCTCCCCGTCCTCCTCCTCGTCCTCGTTATCCTCACCTGCGTGCTCTGCCTCCGCGCTCGTTTGCGTTTTCTCTTTCCGCTTTGTTTCCTCTTCCTCCTTTTCTTCCTCCTCCCTCTCCTCCTCCGCTTTCTCCTCCTCCTCCGCCACCTCGTAGGTCTCCTGGTCGGACAGGTGGCGACAATCATGTTCCCGGAAGGCTCGCCGGGAACATGCTGAGGTGGGCCGTGGGGGGGCCCTCGCGTTCAGGGTCATCCACTGGAGACTGCCCGGCCTGGAGGACGGGCCAGTGGACGCATTTGTAAAGGTTGACATAGTGGCGAAGCTTGGCAGGGTGACGTGGGAGGCGCAAGTTTCGATCGAGGAACGGTAAGGGCTGGAAAGGCCACGGCAAGGCGCTGCGCCGAATTGGGTTGTTCGGTGGGACAGCGCGGACCGTCCTCCTCATCTTCGGCCTCTTTGCCGGAATGGCGGTGACAATCATGTTCCCGAAAATCTCTCCGGGAACATGATGGTGTGAGGCCGCGTAGGGGCCGTTGTGTTGCTTCTTGGGGACGTTTTTGGGGTTCGGTGGGAACGCGACAAAGGCCGCGCGGGGGCCACTTGGTGGGCCGTGTCTGGGCCTCTTGTCGTTGACCATCCTGGGCCGTCTTGGGCGCCCTTGGGGTCGCCTTGGAACCTGCGTGGGTATTTGTTTGCCGTTTTCACTTCCGCGTCAACTTCGTCGTCCTCATCCTCCTCCTCCACTTTCTCCTCCTCCTGCTCCGCCTCATCCTCGCAAGTCTCCTGGTCGGACAGGTGGCGACAATCATGTTCCAGGAAGGCTCGCCGGGAACATGCTGAGGTGGGCCGTGCGGGGGCCCTCGGTTTCAGGATTATCCGATTGAGGCTGCCCGGCCCGGAGGACGGGCCACTGGGCGCATTTGTAAGGGTTGAGATGGTGGTGAGGCTCGGCAGAGAGACGGGGGAGGCGCAAGGTTTCGATTGGAAAACGGCAAAAGGCTGGAAATGCCACAGCGGACAGCGCGGACCGTCCTCCTCATCTTCGGCCTCCTTGCCGGAGTGGCGGTGACAATCATGTTCCCGGGAAGCTCTCGGGGAACATGATTGTGTGGAACCGCAGCGGGGTCCTCGTGGAGGCGCTTGGGTACCTCAAAGGAGGCTGCAAAGCCCGCAGGGCAGCCGCAGTAAGCCATTCAGAGATGTTGTCAGAGTGGTGCGGCTGCGAAGTGAGATGGTGGAGGCGTAAGGCAACGAAAGAAGAATGGTTGGAGCTAGGTAGGACAGGGCAAGGAAGGAAGGATGTCGAAGAAGGCCTCGCGGGGGCGACTTGGGGGCTGTTGTTTGGTCTCTGGGGGCCGGTATTGGAGCCTTCTGGGGCGTCGTGGGGGCCTCTAGTGGTCCTCTTGCGGCCCCGTGGTAGCATCTGGGACTCTTTTTGGGGCCGCCTGGGAGACTCTTTGGGCGAAAGACTTGAAATTTCGGTTCCTGCTCCCCCTGTAAAAGCCATCTGGGGGCCGTCTTCAGGGCCTCGGAAGCCGTCTCGGGCGCCCCTGGGGCCGTGAAGGAGCTCTGTTAGGCCGTTCCGGGTCCTCCTGGGTGCCTCTGGGCTTGTCCTGAGGCGGTGTTGGAGGCCTATTGGGCCGTCGTGGATTGTCGGACGCTTGATCAGTGGAAATTAACAATGTTTGCTTCTCGGGGCATTCGGCATTCGCTTGGGGCCTCGGGCGCCCTCTGAAGCCTGCCCGAGGCCGTCCTGGCAGCTTCTTGAGGCCTCAAGGGTGCTTCACGAGGCGGAGAAGTCGAAATGTCGGTTCATGCCCTCCTTCTGGATGTCCTTTCGGGGCCGTTTTGAAAGCCTCGCGGGCCTTCTTGGGCGCCCCTCGGGGGTGTCACGGAACCCTGCTAGGCTGCCCCGGGGCCTTTTGGGGGGCTGGCGGGCCCGTCTTGAGGCGGTGTCGGAAGCCTTGTGGGCCGTCGTGGACTGTCAGGATGTGGATAATGGGAGGGCGCCGAAAGCACTGAAACACCCTAGCGATAACAATGATGTTTGCTTATCGGGACACTCGGCTGGGATCTCGGACGCCCTATAGAGCCTGCCCAGGGCCGTCCTGGCGCCTTCTGGAGGCCTCTGGGGAGCTCCCTGAGGCGAAAGACTCGACATGTTGCTTCACGATCCCCCTCTGGAGGCCATCTTGGGGCCGTCGTGAGGACCTCATGGGCCGTCTTGGGCGCCCCTGGGGCATTATGGTGCCCTGCCAGGCCGTCCCGGGGCCTTCCTCGGGGCCGCTGTGCCCGTTCTGAGGCGGAGTCGGATGCCTCGTGGGCCGTCGTGGAAAACCAGAATGCAAAAAAAAGACACCGCAAATATGGAAGAAAACTCGCAAAATCAATGTTTTGTGCGTTTCGTACTCGTCTGGACATCGAGCGCCCACTGAAGTTGGCTCGGGGCCGTCCTGGCGCAGCCTGGAAACCTTCGGAGGCCGTTCAGAAAACATCTTCGGTGCTCTCGGGATGTGCTAGACCCAGTCTGGTAGACTATCGTACCAATTTGTGGGTCCTCAATGCGACCACGGCGCCACTTTGGGAACCACGCAGGCGCCCCTGGAACCCCTGCCCGGCCATGTGTACCCGGGGGCCCTGGTCCCAGGCCCGCCCGACGCCTGCTCCGGTATGTATGTACACCTCGCGAAATGGTTAAGAAATCATGGGTTTGATTGGTCCATTTTGCCAGTGGCACATGCTGCTTGAGGAAACGAACGAAGCACGGGCAAGCTAGGCTGGCTAGTGCGACACAGATTTGCTCCAGGCACGGATTAAAGGAGGCATTGGGCTGGCGAGGGCCGAAGAGAAGTGCCTGTGAGATAAATGGCGGCAGACATTCACAATCATTCCCGTGCATCACTTACATGATTGGTCCATTTTGCCAGTGGCACATGCTGCTTGAGGAAACGAACGAAGCACGGGCAAGCTAGGCTGGCTAGTGCGACACAGATTTGCCAACCTTCAAAAAGCCCGACCTCAAGCATTGAACTGGGGAGTTATATTCCTCGCATGTGTTTCCACCTTCCGATGGACTGCTGGGCTATACACGACTTGTGCAGGCTGTCAGCCAAGAGTGCACACAGAGCAGAAGGGTAGGCGTTTTTCATTAGCGTGCAAAACTTGTTGCCAGAAAAACCTGTGAGCTCCACGTGGGGCTTACGGGAGAAGCTACATATACCTCTGCCAGTGCATACTAGTTTATCAAGACCAGGGTGGGGCGCGCACTTCCAGAACCGAATCCTGGTTCGAGCTCTGAAGGGGCGCCCACAGGCACAGTAGTCCACAACTTTATCACACACCTGAGGGAGCTTGGCGAAGGAGCGACGATCAGGGCGCAGCCACAGAAAGCTCTGCCAGGGATTTTCTTCGGCTCCTGGCACATTCAGTTTATAACACAGGCGTTGAATTCGCTGGGACACCCACCCTAGCCTATTGGAGACAGTGAGGCTTTCGAGGTCCTTGCCCGAAAGACCTGGAAGACCCATGGGACACGAGGGGCTTCTGAGGGCGGAGGGCATCTTGCTGTGCCTAGGGGCCCGTCGGGCCCTCGAGTACCCACTGCAGGGCGTCCCAAGAAACACGAGCTTTACAAGGCCAGAAGAAATCCAACCTCTCAAAACCTTAAAAACAGCCGGGCGAGTCAGATCAAAATGGGCACCGTGGCGAAGATCCCACTCGATGACTGCCTCTCCTCTCTGCCTCAGGTGTTTACTCAGTTCCCCACATCCAGAGAAGACTTCTATGCATACGCGGGACTGGTGCGGCGCGGAGCGAA